TGCGCAACATTTGGATGTATAAATTCATCAACATTTTGCACCAGTGATTAATCCTGTACCCACAGTTTATGGTATAAAGCTTTTACAATTGCTGTTATAAACAGTCAGCGTCTGGTGAGTCTTTACAGGGTTCGTCTGGTGCGCACAGGAAGTGAAGGCTTTTCCATTTCTGGCAGCAGCAACTGGTTTGTTTGGCATAAATATAGAAGCAAGAGCAGTGTTACCTGCCACCTACACAAAATCAAAAGACAAAGACTTAACAGTCCTGCCAACACTGTTTCATTGACAAATGATCTCAGAGAGATGCAGTGCAAAAAAACCACCGCAGCAATGAACACAATAAGCAATAGCAACGCATGCAAAACCTGAATGAAAAGTTGGCCCTTTCAAACTGTCTCTGAGTTATGATATACCCATTACTGGATTTCACTTTGCAAATGACTATTGCATACCCATCCCTTACATTATCTGATGCACTTAATTTTGCCTGCAGTATATTTGCATTCACCCCTCACAGTTTCAAAGCGTTTTAGATTGGATTGACTCACCACAAATTCTCTGCTGTCATTTGTTGGCCTATTTCACACTTTTGTGACAGTCACGCCGAATGAAAGCCAATTTCGCGAGGCTTGTCTGAACTGGGATTAGGCTGGATGATATAACATAATTAACTTTTTTGTTTTGTTTTCATATAATGTGGAAGTCTCATTATTCTATGGAGATATTCCCAAAGTTGCAGAAAATGTTCCAGTGGACTTAAAATATTTGCTCCCTCTGTAAGTCTCTTCACAGGGAGAGAAAGCAGTGGAGGGTAGAAATTAGGGATTGTGTGAGCAGTGAGCCGATCAGCACAGGTCACTGGTGTCTATTTCCTCCGAGGCAACCGCACATTTCCATTTTGGTAAACAGTCAGCTTGGTATCGCCAATGTCAGGAAACCTAGGAGACCTTAGCCTGTGATTAATGTGATATCTATTTTTTTCTTGTATGTTTAGAGTCATGCAGCATGTTTCACGCTCCACTGATGTGTGATACAAGTTTCGGGGAATCGATATCCTGATTGCAGGGGCTGTATTACCATGTGTCACCCCACCAGTATGCTCCACTGGGAATGCCTCGCTAGCATGTCCTGTTGACTTTGTTGAATTGGAAAGTCAGCTGTGCCTTGTGTGTTTGCGTGTGTGTGTGTGTGTGAGAGGGAGGACAGTAGGGAAAGATGAGCTGGCTGACAGCTCAATGTCAATTCATTGTAGTCCCCAAAGGCTTGGTCCCATGTTGAATGTGTTACATGCACTGTATGTGTTCATGTGTCGTGTAATCTGTGTGCAGATGTATATGTGTCTGGCATTGTGTGTGTGTGTGTGTGTGTTTGTGACAGTGTCCCCATCACCCTGAGTCTTAAGGGTGTTTCTTATATTATGGGCTCTGCAGGCATGCGGGCTTAAGAGTAATTACTCCCCAGCAGAGACGAGAGGAACGTCTCCTTCATTAAACAAAAGAGAGCAGAGATAGAAGGATGGAGTATCAGAGGAGAAAGCAATGCAGTCATTTTATGCTCAGCATGGCGGTAAACATTTCTGCTCTTCTCCCTTTCGCACAATGCAAGCTCGTTCTCTTTCGGTCATGCATCTTGACTTGTAACATCTGTCAATAGTTTTGACTTTCTGGTTGTTTTTTCCAGCAGATTGTTGATGTGCTCTGTTATCTATCATGCAAGGTCCAATGTGCAGAGATTCTTTTGAAGAGTTGATTGCTAACAAGTGCAATGCAGCTTTTATATCCAGGCACACAGAAACCATTCACACATACTGCAATTAATTGTGCAGCTCTAGTAGAAACATGTATGGCAAAAATATCATTAAAAAAATGTATACTATAGCAAAAAGCAAAAAATGTTTTTACTGGAGTATTAAAGGGATTGTCTGACATTTTGATAAATATAATTATTTGTTTTTTTGCTGAGCGCTAAGATGAGAGAACATTGAGCTGGAGCCAAGAGGGGATAGCTTAGCTTAGCATTAAGACTGAAAGCAGGGGAAACAGCTAGGTCTGTCCACCTACCTATAGCTCACTAATTAACTGCATCTCATTATTTAATTTGTTAAAGTGTTAGATTCACTAGTATGCGAGCAACTCTTACTTGTTGATCAGGCACCTGCACATTAAAGGCTAGAACTGTGGAGAATACCATGAACTACTGTATTTTGTTCATTGCCAGTAAGTGAAAAGAAGCAGTTGGCGATACCGTGTGTCATTATCATGGAGATAGCGTATGTCTGTCTCAAGGTCAATGACTGCAGTGCTCGGGGCATTCCAGATTAGAAGAAGATATCAGGTGATGATCAATCAACAGGGATTGATCATCACCTGATAGATCAACATAATACCTGCCATGTGATATTCATTTAAAGGATTTCCCCTGCCTTGGTCAGGGCGATGCACAAATGTTTATACTCATACAACATGGGAAGCATTTTTTAAAGCAAAGTTTATGTTCAACTATTCAACATGTTGGAGAATATTTCAATAAACATTAACAATTTTAAGCATATTGGTGCATAATCTGTGCACAATCCACACAGAAAAGGTATATTTTCAATCCAACTCAAAAATTAAATATTGGCTACCACAAATCTGTGAATTTTTCCTCTCTAAAATTTGTATCAATATCAGCCTCAAAAATCCCATATCAGTCGGGCTCTAAGTGGAAGAGCATTTAATAATCCAAAGTTTAAAAGTGAAGTGAAAAACTGAAAAATATTTCCAATTATGTAAAGGTGTGCTAGAGCAAATACATTATCTTACATTAATATGTAAGTATATGTGTGGTTCAATTAGGCTCGCTTTCAGCACATTAAAAGTAATCAGTATCAGTAATCAAGTTACTGCATCCAGCCAAGTGGGAAATACTTTCGCTTAACAGTGTTAAATTATGCAGCAGTCAGACTTCACCGTGGTACAGTACTACAGTATGGTATTAATGCTGGCAATCCTTACATAATGACAGTGCACAACATCCATATCACTGTATTTGTCATTTACTCTGGCATCGAGTAGCTAGTTCCAGGAGACAAACAGTTCAGATTAAATTTAGATCAAACACTGAGCACAATGTTTTTTCTTCTACCTTTTCTTTTGGGGGATACTGCATCACTGAACAATCTGCTCGGAGGCTCTTCAGCCTCTTTGGAGTAAATGAGTTTTGTGTAAAACATCTGGAGTGATGTGTGGTCAGTATTAGGGAGTTAACCTGGGGCAGCTGTTTGTTAAAGAAAGCAACTGTCTGATGGAAACAGCAGTGTGACCCTATACGTCGAGTCAAATATTTTGGGCTTTCTAGGCAGACTCCATGAATGCTCACCAGAGATGGGGTGGATGAGAACTTTGCCTTGCACACACACACACATACATTCCCGTGTGAAGCTCTACATTTTACTTACAGTGAACTTTAAAGCAGCGAGAGGCTAGCTTCTGCCTAAGCTAACAGGATTTGATATATTTATACATTTCTCTGTTCATGTTTGGATGACTCATCTATCAGTGGGTGTCCTGTGCCTTGATCTCTTTCCAGAGTTTTTCTTTTATTTTTTGACTTTGAGCTGGATTTTTCCCTCCTCATCTCCAATTCTGTCTATTCTGCCTCTTAAATTTATTTATTGATTTTCATATTTCAAGAATTAAGGTTGTCTTCTTTTCAATTCCTGTCCAACTCCCGTCCTCTTTCTCGCCCTTGTTTTCTTCTTCAGTCCAGTCTGATAATGATTTGGAGAGCTGATGCACAGTCAGACAGCCAGACAGACAGTAATGAAGGCAGGAATACTGATTAGTGCAATGAGCGGCTTGTTCCAGGTTATTACATTGTATACTCTGGATCAAAAGCCATTTGTCACTTGAGTCTCTGTTAAGGCAGCAATGGGCTGGAGGACCCATGTCGTTGGCAAGCATCTGCGTTGCTGAAGTGTCCTTGAGCAAGACACTAAATTCTTTTCAGCTGCAAAGAGGCTGTTATCTTTTTTCTCTTTTCTTTTCTCGTCACCCCCTCCACAGGGAGCTCGACCTCCTGGCAGCAGGGCAAAGAGAAAAGAAGATTCCTCTGCAGGAATTAATAAAGTATCACATTGCTGTCAAAGGTTCTCAGTGGGTTATTTTTAAACATCAAATATGACAGATATTAGAGCCTGACTAATACTTTGCCTGAAAATATTGGCCCATGTCATAGATATCTGCTGTATAAATAACAACATATAGACCAATATATAACCAAAAACTGCAGTTAAGAAATGCAAAGATGTGTTTGAAGTTGAGCTCCAATGTCCTTAAAAACAGTACTTTGACAAAAGTTCTTAGCACTGGAAATCTTCTGAGTTTTTAGCAAAATGTCTTGGCGTATAACTATTGGATGGATTTCCCTGAAATACAATACTACTAATAATACTGTACTTTGATGATGGTGATTTGGCATATCCATTGCTTTATTTTAAGACAAAATACCTGCAAAACTTCTGACATTCCCCTCTGCCTCAGCTGTACTTTGTGTTTAATGCTAATTATCAAACATTTGCATGCTAACGCGCTAAAATAAGATGTAAAAACTTACTGCGAGTTGAGCTGTGCTTATTGGCTGCTCTTAGTTTCAACCCGTCCGTAGCAGGGGAGAATGGCGGCTTACCTGGTCACACACGTTCTTGTATTACAGATAAACAGTACACAAAAATATGTTTCTGATAAGATACTTTTTATGTTTTCTTACACCCATTAAAATCAAGAAGGCCTTGCGACACCACATGACGCTTTGGCGACCCCTAGTGAAGGTCCTGACCCCAAGGTTGGGAACCAATGCTTAAACACCACATAAAAAATATATTCCTGTGCTCCATCATGGTCATATTCTTGAGGATCCTCATTTAAGACATCTTTATTATTTGTGTCATATCAAGGTAATATGCAATGTCAGTGCCCTTGCAATGCTAACTTCTATTTTCTGTCTCTCTCTTTCTGCAGGACTTCGATGACTTCATCTTTGCATTCTTTGCCATTGAGATGGTGATCAAGATGGTGGCTATGGGAGTTTTTGGCAAAAAGTGTTACCTTGGAGACGCCTGGAACCGCTTGGATTTCTTCATCGTAGTGGCTGGGTGAGTTACGCAATTGCACACACACCAACACGCGCACAAACACACAGGTGGCTAAGCATAACCATGCATAAACACTGGGGGCTTGCACAAGGAGCAGTATACACACACACACATGCAACAAATCTGAGTAGTAATCAATGTGGAAGTCTGGGTTTGGGAGTGCAGGGACAGATTCATGAACAAGGACAGAATCAAGAGCGTAATAGAAGATTGTAAATGTAATTGTGCCGCTAGATTTGAACAAGCTGCAGGGTTTTTTGCCTGCTGTCCCTAGAGCAGATCAAACGATGTTGGATTTGAGGCACAAACCTGTTAGAACCAGTCCTCTAAGTCACATCAGGCTACTTTCCAGTGCGCTCCACTGGGTTAGTCATTAAATAAATTTACCCTAAATGTCCTGTAAAAGTCTTTTAACTAGAAATTGGTAGCAACCACCCTCTTAAATTCTTAAGTGCTCAGAATCTGTCAAACAGCTGAACAGAGTGAGATCAGCTTTTAAGATGAGTGATTGCAAAATGAGTTTTTTTTAGTTAAAAAGCATTCACTTTCTTCACTTACACACTTTATAACTTTACTTCACTTGCAGATTTATGTTTTGTGCTTAACAGCTATGCACAAATCCTGGCACATGATATACTTGCAAACAAATACAGATTGTATATGAACACAGTGGGCACAGACAAGGTGGCACACATACACTGATGCACACACAGCAATGCACACACACACACACTGTAATTTGATTAAACATGTTACAGAACCTAGCCTGCTGGTTTTGGTCTGACATTTTCATCACACTACATCCCCTGCTGGTTTTTAATGCCACCCTTCTGCCACAGCTTCTGTTGTCCATCAGTGGGAACAGGGCACATTTCCTTCTTAGCGTGTGTGTGACTGTGTGTGTATATGTCCTTCAGCAGCATAGACGAGATACATTTCACCTATTTCTGTGCAGCAGCACACCTGTAAAGCATGTGAGCAGCACCTGTTGTCTGCAGTCGAAGGGCACCGTCTGAGCTTCTTCCTCATTCATTTAATTCCTCCACTCTCTTTGTACCTGCATTATATATCCGAGTGGAAACCTTAGGATCAGAGAGAGTAAAAGCTGCTTCCCCAGAGAGCAACTGATCCAGTGCCAGTGGAGCAGAAGGAACTGGATGGGAAATACCTTAATGTCTGATATTCAGGCACTAATCCACTGAGTGATAAGAAGGCCAATAAACGGATCTTCAAATTTAAACCATAGCAACAGGAAATTAAAACAGGTGCAGCGTTTATGGAAGGAGGTCATTACAGCTATGATGAATAGAGAATTCTACTTAGAAGCATAGGGATGAAACTGTAATGTACTGGTGGCAGAAACTGGGTCATTGCACCAGTGCAGGATGAGATATGCATAAGCATGTGTTGCATATAGGGCTGTAACTAACGTCTCTTTTTGTTATCAATTCACCAGCCAATGTTTTTATTGATTTATCAATTTCCACCATCCCAAGTTGACATTTTTAAATTGCTTGTTTTGTTCGACCAACAGTCCAACTGTCCAAGATATTCAGTTTACTATCATAGTCTAGTCGAGGAAACTAAGAAAAACTCAAACGTTAGAGGAGTTAGGAGTTTTTTTGTGGCATTTTAGCTTAAAATACATACTAAAAGGTTTAGTAAGAAACATTTAGAAGGAACTATTTGTATGCATGTATGTTTTCATTAGTGTATAATCACCTGAATATAGGAATCGTTGTGTTTTTGTAACCTTCGAAGCTGTTATTATCTACACAGAGGTACTGCAGCTACTTAATTTTATACTGTTAATTTTACATATTATATATATACATAATACTTTATATTTTATCTTATTTTTGATTCTGTTCTTAAGGTCAGGGTTTTTAATTTTAGTTTAATGTATGTTTGTATTTTGGTATGCTACTGGATGCTTGAAATGTCCCTTCTGCGTTGCGCAACAATTTGCTGTATTTCATCCATTCTATCATCTATCTATCTATTACTACCTCTACTACCACTACCTACCTACCTACCATCATTCCTTCCTTCCTTCCTTCCCTGTCCTTCTTCCTGCCTTCCCTGCCTGCCTCTGCCCATGAGCCCACATGTTAACGCCATGTCTTCACAGTACCCAGAATGGCCAAAACCACACAACTGCTCTATATACTGGCCTTCATTCTAGTGTCGTCAATACAGGAAAGCAACCGGTGTTCATTCTCTGAAATCAGCAACTTCACCCGCTAGAAGCCAACTAAAATCCACAAACTGGTCCTTTAGAACTGGTCATCCATTATCCATCCTTGCAATAACATTCCTGTTGGATCAAATAATCCGAATAATCATTTCAGTTCTAATAGAATCATGAACATAGAGCATGTATGGAAAACACAGCAACTGAACTGTAGTCGAGTGTACTGTTGAATACCTCAATAAGACTAAGAATAGGTGGTTGAAAAGGCTCGGCAGTATCAGCTAAATTGACAATTTCTTACAATACATATTATGTAACTTTTTGTGCAGAAACATGTACGTGTATGCATTTACCGTTTGCATTAAAGATAGGTTAGGAAATAAAGTTTGTGTTTACATGAGTCAGTAAAAGGAGTTTGCACCTTTTTCTTCAATGAGTGTCAGTTTAACAAAGATGAAGTCGGCCGGGTGTTGCTGTGCATTTGTTAAGGGCGCTTTTAATTATTTTCAATTTTACGCACTGATAGTTTAGTTACGAAGTCCGACTGTTTATAATAATAATAGAGTTGTAGGCCATTGTAAGCAGCAGGGCCTCGCGTCAGTTATCATTTACACATGCAATAACCATTTAAGTAATGCCCTCCTCAATAGTTTCGCAGACAGAAGGCAAGTTTTTAATCCTGGATACCATGGTGTTTTTATTGTTCAGTCCCCTATGGCAGTAAAACTGTGTAAAAACATCCTTATGTAATTTCCATCTCCCTTGACTTGACCAGCTTTATCAGATTCACATTTGGTTTTCCTTCATGCTTGGTTCAAAAAAGCTCTTTACACTTGTTCGACACACCACAATTTCAACAAAATGGAAGCAAAAATGTGCTACGGTTCGTTCTCCTCTTGCAACCAACCTGAAAACTCTATCAGCCCAGTCGGGCTGAAAAGGCTAATGGTTATATTTTCTCACCTTGTCAAGTACAGAGTTTGGTGCATGGTGCCCGTACTCTTTGCCAAGGTTATGCCACCGTTGTTTGACTATGTCTCTAACAGTTGGGACAGTAAGTAACACAATAATTCAAGGAGACATATTTATACCATCCATGCTGCTGATCGCTTTTGTGGTGCAACAAGAAGCCCGTTATTCATCATGCCTGTCTAATCTATGTTAACAATATGGTAATTTAAACATCTGAATTGTGGAACTACACTAATGTCATTAAAAAAGGACCAAAACGTAGATTTAGTGCATCTACGTGTAGTTTCAGATCACGCTCCCCTTATTCACTCCCCTTCCCGAGTATGAAGAGCAAACTCCCCTACGTCTACAGCCAGTGTTTGGTTTGTCCATGTTCTGGCTACCCCTAGAAACATGCTGTTAACATGCCA